AGATATCCTAGAAATTAATGATGACAATCAAGTATTCTATGGAATAGACTCTTCGAAACCATTTTAAATTGCATTTATGTAAGATATTAAAGCAATCAAGAATGTCATGAGATAAATCTTTTAACAGATCAAAATGATTTTTTCTACGAACTCTTACAAAAAGACATCTTTCGCCACAGGATACTTTCAGCGAAAACTTGATTTATGTCACTAGTGAGAAAAAATCCCATAACGTTTACTTTCATCTCTAGTGATGAAAGTAAGTTGTTACATATTTTCATATATCAGTCGCCTCGTATAATATTTTGGCAGCTTATAATTATTAATAATGAAATAAAAAGATGCTCATTAAATTCTATATGCGTTTTTACCATTTACCTAAACTTTAATGAATTAAAGATAATATAAAAATAGTGCAAATTAAACCAATCTACATCTAGTTTCCTGGTTTTCATTTGTTTATTTGAAGTTTTATCATTTTTGAGAACTGTCAGTTTCAGTTCGTCCTAAATTTAACACATTTTCATGATGTCTGAGTCAGAAAGCGATTGTACTCCCCCAGAAATTATTTTTAAAGCTGAAGAAACCTCTTCAGATTTATTACCGGCCAAATCAAAAAAGAGATATGAAGAAATTTATATCAAATTTTTGGACTGGAGAGAAAAAAATAAAGTGAAATCATTTTCGGAAACTGTACTACTAGCATACTTTGGAGAAATATGTTCAAATTTTAAACCGTCGACGTTATGGTCCATTTATTCGATGCTAAGAACTACACTCTCTGATAAAAATGATGTCGATATTAGTAAATATCCAAAGTTACGTTCGCTTTTGAAAAGAAAATCTGATGGTTTTAAAAGCCAAAAATCCAAAAATTTTTCACCTGAAGACATAAAGACTTTCCTAAAGAATGCACCTGACTATAAATATTTAATAACAAAGGTAACGGAATTATTATTTTTATTTTAACAAATACTTAATACATAACTACTAATATTTGTAGGTAGCATTAGTTTTTGGATTATCTGGCGCTTGTCGTTGCCACGAACTAAAAGATTTAACAATAAGCGATGTAAAGGATACTGGAAGTATTCTGTTAGTTCAAATCGGTATTATACGCCGACACTCGAACGGCGGATATAACTATTGAAATGTTATAAAGAGTTTCTAAACACTTTGAAACACACTATACATAACAATTTTGGGTCCGCTAACACTTATTTAAAAAAAAAATTTGCCTTAAAATCCAAAATCCTTGTTGTAGATTTCTTGTTGTAGAAACGGCTAAATATCAATATAAGACCATTCATAGAGCAATAAACCGTACCAAATTTTTTCATAAACGATCAAATTTTCTTATTTTTCATTTTTAGTTTGTTAGAAAAATAAATAATCACTAAATTATTTTTAATGACAATTGATGTGTCTAGTTTCTATAAATGCGGTGTTGCCAAATCGAGTAAGAAAACATGTAAGTCAGGAAATAATTCGATTAGTGAAAGTTGGCTGAAAAATTACATAGTGTCTGGCCAGCAGGTAAATTTGGATCTCGAAGTGAAAACATTTGTAGTAATCACAGAAAACCATCTTTTTATTTCATTTCATGATGATTGTACGTTAATTACGGCATGTCGGTACTTATCTAATATTTAAAAAAAAAAATTCAATTTGAGCTGTGTCCAGGCCGTTGGAGTTTATGCCGGTCGGCGTAGCCAGGTATGGTTTAAAAATTTTCTGGTGGCGGCGAAGCCGCCACCTTACAAGAAGTCATTTCTTCATTTTCTTATTGTATATTTTCTTATTATTAAATGCTCACGATACAAGACACGTTCGTTAAAAGTTGGGATCGAGGTTCACTGGCCAGACGCTAATGAGGGTTGGTTAGGTTAGGTTTTTTTTTTAATTTGAGCTGTGTCCAGGCCGTTGAAGTTTATGCCGGTCGGCGTAGCCAGGTATGGTTTAAAAATTTTCTGGTGGTGGCGAAGCCGCCACCTTACAAGAAGTCGTTGCTTCCTTTTCTTATTGTTTATTTTCATATTATTAGATGCCCACGATATAAGACACGTTCGTTAATAGTTGGGATCGATGTTCACTGGCCAGACGCTAATGAGGGTTGGTTAGGTTAGGTTTTTTCAATTTGAGCTGTGTCCAGGCCGTTGGAATCTATGCCGGTCGGCGTAGACAGGTATTTTTTGGTAGCGCCACCCTACAAGAAGTCGTTGCTTCATCTTCTTATTGTATATTGTTAGTTTAGGTTAGGTCGTCGAAGAGTACTCTGCCGATGAGGGTGAGGAAGAAGATCTTAATATGGGTATTTTTTAAATCGTTAGTTTTATATAATTTTTCTGATACTGAAGTCAATTGGTTGGCCTGGTACAACGCAGTGCATAGGTAAAAATTACCATTGCTATGTAATAGATAATTCATATGGCAACATTGTATTTCTTTTAGACATATGTCACACTGGAAATCTTAATTGTCATAGTCTTTACGAAAATTAAAAAATTCCGACGAATCTAAACATGAGCTTAAATTAAAAAAATAAACTGTTTACGAAAATATTTTGATGGTTTATTGCATTATGGATGGTCTAGTGTTATTGTTTAGCAGTTTCTATAACAAGAAATTAATCAAAATGATGAAGTTTAAATTTTTTCAACATCGAAATTGGAGTACACATTTTAATAGTTTTAAGGTAAGAAAAAAATATTTTATAGCGTTTGCAGGGCAAAAAAAGTATTTTGAAATGTGTTTCAGGTCTAAAATCGTTTAAAAAAAAAATAGTCCGTTCGACTGTTGGCGGATTTTTCCGAAATCTAGTAGTGTTGCGGAAGGATATGTTGATGAATCCACGAACAGTAAAAACCAAATACAAACCAAAATTTTACAATCTGTACAAAATAAGGAAACTACTAGTTCATCCGATTATGGCGCATCATCATCTGAAATGACATTTAACAGTAGAACAAATATGTCGGCATCTACCTCAATAAATAAAAAGCTTGAGTGTGATACCCCCATAATTTTGAACAATTGTTCAAATATAACAATAAATCAATATTTAAATAATAAATAATATTTCTGAAATATTTAATTGTTGGTTAATTTTTTGTTATTCCTAACACAAAATAAAGCATTTGCTAACGTTTGCTTTTTTTCATTTTAGTAGGTACCTACCTACATGACATAATAGAGTTCGTAGAAAAAGTATAGTGTTTTACTCGTCGAAAATAATTTTTTTCGTCACTCGTGAAACAATATACTATTCTTGAAGTCGATTAGAAAATGTTGATGTTTCTATGATATTATGTGACATTATTTCAAATTATACAAGTTATTAGATTAAATAATTATTGTGCGTTATTTTTTTGGTTAAAATTGAAGTTACAGGTTGTTGTGTTCATTACATTAGTTATTTTTCTTTAAATTAAATAATTGTTATGTACTATGATATACATTTATTTAGTTAATCAACTGAAATATTTGAATTTTTACAATAATTTAAAAGGGCGTTAAGTTAATAAACATTTAAAAGGTATAAAATTAGTCGTTGAATAGTCCGGCCACGAGACAACTCTTATAATAAAATTAATACAAAATAACTTTGAGAATCGATGTTTAGATGATTTAGGGTGATATTTAGGTTTTGATATTTAGGTTTTAGTTTTATTTTTTTATATGGCGAATTATAAATGATTCCAAGCATATGCCAAACGGCTTGTGTGAGAAAATGGTGGATATTTATAGATTTTCTTGTCAGCATTTTGTTAAATAAATTTTGTATAAATAATATGAAGACCATGTTCAACACTCAAGCCTTTCTATATATAGTCTTAGAATCACTTTTTCTAAGCATGTGCCAAAAGGCTTGTGTGGGAAAATGGTGGACATTTTTATACTTTTTTTGTCAGGTTTTTGTTAAATAAATTATATATAATTAATATGATGACCATGTCCGACACTCAAGCCTTTTGTTATATAGTCTTAGAATCACTTTTTCTAAGCATATGTCAAACGGCTAGCGTGGGTAAAATGGTGGCATTTTCCATACAATTTTCCTGCAACTTTTCGACTCAAGCCTTCGTTTCGTCCACATCCGATACTCATGCCAATTTTATTATTACGTCTAACGCATTAATAACATTATATGGTTAAAAAGGCTTGCATGAAAAATAACTCAAAAATCAAAAAAAATTTGCGTAATTTTTCCGATTCCAAAATGCACTTATCCATTCGCGCCATTCAAGCCATTATGTTTTTCTGGCTAGTGACGATGTATGTATTCATACTTTCGGCGGGCTTGTGTGGAAAAATCGGTTAAAATATCGATTTTTCTTTACAAGATTACGCCCTTATTTCAACCCTTTAGCCACTTGCACCATTAAAGCCTTTGGGTTTCCGAAGCCTAGTTCTAATAATTAATCATATAATGAAAATGGCTTGCGTGGAAAAATGACCAAAAAACACCTTTTATTTATGTTAAGGAAAATCGAATTTTCCATATGTTATCCCCAGGGGCCGCTCATAAATTTGCTTCCTTTCTACTCAAAATCGATGTACTTTTCAACCCTCTTTGAGGCTTGCATTCGAAAATGGGGCACCTAAATCGGTCACTATCTGACGGTCTATTAGGCTTCATAAGGATATAAATGTTTCTAGTGAAATATGTACCCCTCTATAAGCTTTTTATGATTTTAAAGTAATTGTAAAAAGTATACACACCTAAACTCCTTGCAAGCACCGTGCTTCAAAGCAGTCCATCCATCTTCAGCTTCATTACATACTATTTATCCGGTATATAGGGTATTTTTAATATCATTTACATTCCTTGGCTTATTTCAAGACTAAATTGTCATATAAAAATAGGTCCCCAAACAGTTCGATACCGATCTAGAGAATGTTGAAATTTCAAGATTTTTTTTGTAATTACCCACTCGTAGCTCCTTATTAGCTTGATATGTAATATGCTATTAAGGTTAAAATATGCATTTTTGTTACAGGATATCCTCAAAAGAAGTACATATGTATATAAGGGAAGATTTTGTCTCGATACTAGTGAAGTAATTGATGTACCTGACGGAAAAGGTAAGTTAGAGTTTACTCTCATATTTCAATTGTCTCTTAATTTAAAATTATTTTTCAATTACTCGGAAATTCCTCGGCAGTTCCTCAACAATTCCTTGGCACTTCCCTTTTAAAAATGGGAAACTTGGTAGGTTTTTAAATAATACCAAACACTTGTTCTTCGGCAACGACTATATTACGACTAACTACTTCAGCACTATGTCGTCCTATGATAAACATAACATTCAATAAGTAAGCAAGAGAGGCCGCTAGGTACATCATAATAAAGAGGATATTTCACCCCCACTAGTTTGAAATAATAATTCTCGAAAAAAAGAAACTTACAAGCTTCCTAAACCCATGTGTTTCAAAAACTTGTAATGTTTGTTTGCTCCCAAGGCTTTTGTCAGAATATCTGCAGGCATCTCATTTGTCTGCAAGTATTCTGTATCGATCAAGCCACTTGTTACAGTTTCACTAATGAAATGATGACGAACATCTATGGGTTTAGTCCTTTTATGAAACATGGGGTTTGACGTAAGCTTTAGGGCACTTTGACTATGACTATATATCGAAATACAATCAAAGGAACCTGTCAATTCTCTTATTAGGTTTCGAAAATATTTGGCCTTCTTAGCTGCTTCTTCTAAGGCCATATATTCGGCCTCAGTGCTTGAGAGGGCGACTGTTTTTGTTTACTGCTCTCCCAAGACACAGCTGAATTTGAAAAAATGAAACAAAAACCTGTATATGACTTCCTATCCAGAGAATTGCTGGCCCAATCAGCATCTACAAAACCTAGACTTTTTGAGTCTTTCTGAAACTTTAAACATAAGTTTTTTTTTAGTTTTCTGTAGATATTTCAAAATTCTTTTAACGCTCTGCCAGTGAGTATTATCAAAACAGTTATTAAACTGGCTAAGAAAACTAACACTATAAGATATATCTGGCTTTGTCATGACTGCCAAGTACTTTAGGCCACCTACAGTTCATCAAATTTCTAGAGGCTTTCGACGGCTAGACAGAGAAAGCACTACTGAGAGGCATCGGTTGGCGGGGCCGACGGATTTACGCAATGAAAGTACACTCTGCGCATCAAGTATTTCACTATTTTATTCAGACGTAAATGTCAGATGTAAATTTCGCTAAAACATTTATTTTATTTTCGTTTGTTTTTTTGCTCATTACAGTTTAATAGAACCTAAGTATGGAGTTTAATAGCAAATTAAGAGGCCGCGTGATTAACAGTCAATCTCGCGAAATAATAGCCAATATTATAGAGTTTATGAGAAGAGAAGGAAACTTTAATTCACCTTCAATACCATTTAAAAATGTAAATGATCGTGTTGCTGCAACCACAGGAGTATCTAAAAACACTGTCGTCCGCATTTCTGGAGAGAAAAAAAGAATCGATAACCGTGAGATATCGGAATTTTCATCACCAAGAAAAACCATTAAAAAACCAAAAACAGTTAATGATATAGATGAAGCTGACAAAGGTATTTTAAAAAGAATTATTCTGTTCATGTTAATCTCGGAAAATATTGTTCCAACATTAAAAACAATTCTGACTAAATTTAGAGAAGCTACAGGGTACAAAGGAAGCTATGAAAGTTTAAGAAAAATAATAAAATCGCTAGGATTTCGTTGGCGGAAAACAAAAACAAACAGAAAAATATTAATGGAAAGGTTTGATATTCAAAAGCTACGTTTAGACTATCTGATTCGTTTAAAAAGTTATCGAGCAGAGGGCCGTCCAATTGTCTACTTAGATGAAACATACATTCATGCCTCCCACACACACCAGAAAGCTTGGAGTGATAATTCAAATGAGGGGTTAAAGAAACCAATTAATAAAGGTGATAGACTAATTATTGTCCATGCAGGAGGTGAAATGGGCTTTATTCCGAATGCCCGGTTAATTTTCAAATCTGGAACCAATAGTGGAGACTACCACGATGAAATGAATTTTAATAATTTTTCTAAATGGTTGAAAGAAAAGCTGTTTCCGAACCTCCCTCCAAGAAGCGTCATTATTGTTGATAATGCTCCTTACCATAATGTCCAGGTAAATAAAGCACCAACGTCAACTTCTAAAAAAAGCTGACATGCAGGATTGGTTAAGGAATCATAATATTGCTTACGAAGAGGATATGCTCAAAACGCAATTATACAGTTTAGTGCTATTGCATAAGTCACGATTTAAGAGGTATGCAATTGAAGAAATGATAAATGAACATGGTTTTAGTTGTTTGCGTTTGCCACCGTATCATCCCGATCTTAATCCGATCGAATTAGTGTGGGCATCATTGAAACAATATGTAGCTAGTAACAACACTACATTTAAGAGGCTGTTGTGTGAAGACTTTTTTGATACGTTTTCTAAAGAGGAGTGGCAATCTCGTTGTAATAATGCTAAAATGTGGGAATCTAAATTTTATGACAGAGAAGTTACTTTGGATGAGGCAACTGATAGATTTTTAATTAACTTAAACAGTGACAGTGAGACTGATTTTGAATCTGATATGGAAACTGAAGAAAGTTTTTCGGAAGACCATTAAAATTATATCTGTACCTAAGATCAAAAAAGTATTATCTATTTTTACAACGAAGATGCACAAGAATCAAATTTTATTTTTTTATTATTAGATAGCTATTTTTGTTTCTGAGTTGTGTTCATTTACAGGCTCAATTTTTTTCCGTTTCTCCTTTTTGATTTTATATGGGGTTTCAAGTTGTTTTTGACTTATTTCGACGTAAATCACAACAACACACTTTTTTAATAAAGCAAACAAGTGTTAAGAGGTATATGTACGTGTAAACTACAATTACAAAAAATTGATATGAAACCACCAACAAAAATGTAAAGCTAGCTTCCGTACTAGAACATGGTGTCATTCGTCGAGATAATTTATCGTTTTGTTTAATAGATCAAGAAATGTAAATATTCCCCTGTTATTTTTTATAAAATTATAAGAGAAATAAATTTTTTTCTAAATAGTATAGTTTATTATTTTGTAGAAAAACAAAAAATTTCGAAAATTTTAGTAATGTTTCAGAAACAACCGTTATTAATAATAGGTACCATTTTCCTTAATAAGGTAGAAATAAAATATAAACTATTTCCACGATTTACAAAGGCCTACAAAAAAATTATAGGTATTTTCCGCTATCCTATAAAATTTATATTTTCTGACTCAATTTCAAAAGGTTGAAGGAATTCCAAAACACCTTTTATGGCATAATAATTATTTTCAATTCTACATACTATCTTTAGCTGCTTTTAAAAACGTTCTAAGAAAGTCCAATCAGACCAATTTAATCCCTAAACTATTCCACACTTTTAAAATTTAATTACCTAAAAATATTAAAAACTATTTAAAATAACTTGTTTAGCAGACTGTACAATAGCTATCTTAGTCACACGTAGCGCGTTCTCTGTCTGGGCGTCGAACACCTCTAGAAATTTGATGAACTGTATTAAATATTAATACCGCAAGTAATCGCAACTTTCACTTTTTGATAAACTTAAATTTCTCTCTATTGACAGTTTTGCAGTCAGACATCCCAAATTTAGATAATAAATATTCTATGTAATGTCTTTGGTCCAATGTTATGACATTCCTTACCTTGTCTATACAGATGTTCATTCCTAAAATTTGCCTAACCTGGCCAAGATCTTTTAACTTGAAATTTACCGCTAATTTCTTTTTTAAAACATTTGATTCAACAATATCATTTGAAAAAATGAATAAATCATCAACATATAAGGCAATGCCTGTCATTAGACCCTCATTAAACTTAATGAAAACACATGGCTCAAATTTGGATTTATTGTACCCTAAATTAGTTAAAACATCTTCGACCTTCTTGTACCAAACACTAGAGGATTGTTTTAAGCCATAAATGGCACGTTTCAATTTTAGCACTTTATTTGATCCATCTGAATTTACAAAACCTTCAGGTTGGCTCATGAAAACGGTCTTCTCTAAATGATCATGTAAAAAGGCCGTGGTTACGTCAAGATGGAAGCGGTCTAAATCTAATTTTACACTTAAAGCTGTTAACAACCTTAGGGTAGAGTGCCTAACAACAGGCGACAAAACGTTTCATTATAATCTATCCCTTTTATTTGGGTAAAACCCTTAGCTCCTAACCTAGCCCGGTAGGTTTTATCGTTAGCACTGTCAACCTTCACTTTGAATACCCATTTACACTACACTAAAGCACTACCTTCTGGCAAGTCTGCCAGTTCCCAAGTTTCATTGTCCTGGAGGCTCTTCAACTCGTCTGCCATGCCCTGCCTCCACAGGCTGCCATCAAGTCGTGATAAAGCCACCGCAACACCTACTGGAGCTTCATCTGGGTAGTTCTCAACAGCTGGACTTAAATAAGTTACATATTCATTTAAATTTTTTGACTTTTTTTTGTCTTTCCGAATTTCTAGGCACTACACTATCACTAAAAGACTCTTCTGATGTGTTAACTGGCACGTAGTCACTGGATTATCTGCTATTAAGGTATCATCAATACCTCTTGTGGTTAAATCTGAGTTGTCTTCTTGGATTAAGCTAACATTTGAGTTATCTTCCCCACTGAAATTGCTAATTCTTCCTTGTTTTCAACAACTATGATGTCAAAATTCTTAGTATTTAGATCCTCATGGATATATACATCTCTGTTAGTTGTGACATCATCTGTTTTAGGATCATAAACTCGATAACTTTTTATTTCTTCAGAATATCCTACCAAAATATGTTTATTAGATTTTTTGTCAAATTTCAGACGTTTCTCTTTTGGAACATGTACCATAAATTTACTACCAAAAATACGCAAGCGTGATATCTCAGGTTTTTTGCCTTACCACAGTTCAAACGGAGTTTTATCATTTAGGCCACTGGCGATACATCTATTTCTTAAATAGCTAGATGTATTAACTGCCTCACCCCAAAATCTCTTACCTAGTCCAGAATCGAACAAGAGGCATCTTGCCTGTTCTACAATGGTTTGATTGAATCTTTCGGCAACACCATTCTGTTGCGGAATATAGGTATTTGTTTTTTGATGAATTATACCTGCTTTCTTTAAATAGCTGTCAAATTCTTTGCTACAAAACTCGCCACCTTGGTCAGTTCTAAGAATCTTAATCGTCTTACCTTTTTGGGTCTCAACCATGGACTTCAACTCCTTAAAGCTTCACTTTTTGCCTTAAGGAAATAAACAAATGACATTTTGCTAAAATCGTCAATAAGCAGAAGGAAATATCGGGATGCACCTATGGAGACGACTTCCATTGGTCCACAGACATCATCATGTATAATCTCCAATGCATAACTGCTTCGCACACCTACATTTGAAAATGGTAAAAATGGTAAAAATGGTAAAAATGGTAAAAATGGTAAAAATGGTAAAAATGGTAAAAATGGTAAAAATGGTAAAAATGGTAAAAATGGTAGAAATGGTAGAAATGGTAAAGATTAATAAAGAATGACTGCAATGAATAAAAATGTTATATTGGAGCTTCTAATTCATCTTTTTTTCTCTTTTCTTCTTTTTTTTTTTTTTCTTTTTTTTTCTTTTTTTTTTTTTTTCTTTTTTTGTCTTTTTTCTTTTTTTTCTTTTTTTCTTTTTTTTTTTTCTTTTTTTTTCTTTTTTTTTCTTTTTTTTTTTGTCTTTTTTCTTTTTTTTCTTCTGTTTTCTTCTGTTTTCTTTTTTCTTTTTTTCTTTTTTTTTTTGCTTTTTTTTTTTTTTTTCCTTTTTCTTTTTTATTTTTTCCTTTTTCTTTTTCTTTTTTCCTTTGTTTTTTCTTTTTTTTAATATGAAATATTATTAAAACTGACGTAATTTTAATTAAGATCGTCTCTCCAATATAGTACATACATAGGCATAGACGTATTCCGCCCACATACTGCTTCAACACTGGCATATTTTATAATGCCTCTGACTCTATGCCTCTACTACTGTGTTAGGTTCGAGTGTGTCAAGCAATTGTAGCATAAATAATCAGTTTAAGCAATAGTGTCACATTTTTAGTTATACCACTGTAGACTCCCTATATTCAACCAGTTTTTGTTAAATATACTATTATGGTTAATAGCTGTGTGTTTATATAAACTATGTCGCTTGGCTTCGACGATAGTCGCATATCTTTCAAATAACAAATTTTTTTTGAAATCACAAAGTTAATTTATCAGATTATAAAAATGTATTTGTGAGTTGCGTCACTATTGTCGAAAATGTCTGATATCTTTGCTATTTGTAACTAGGTGAATATGTAAAAAGGCCTTGCGAATACAGATGACTATCTTATTTAGATACTATTAAACATTAATATTAATAGTTTAAACTTTTTCAGATTCTCATCTCGGAGTTTCTGTAAGACATGCCATTAAATTGTACAGTTTAGTTCGTGATAAATGGTTATTGTTTTGCTGCCGGTCTTCCAGTGATAAACAAAGATGGTTGCGAATGTTCGGCGAAGAAAGAAAATCAGTTGTACAAGATAAAAACGACGGTTTGGAACTCCCTCCTTCAACGCGGCATTTAGCTAGGATAGCGGCTAGATCGAAACGAAGACCGCCACGAAAACCTAGAAGTAAGTTCATCATATATTTTGAGTTTAAATATATATAACCTTGGGAATATTTATTTAAAATATTAAGCAGCAGGTTATTTGTGGAATAATTTGTTATTAAAAAATATATATTAAAGGAAAATGTAGGGTCTAATAGAACATATAGAAAGAAAAATACCGGGGAAACAACCATTACTAAAAAAGACCACTTTTTTTAATGAAACCCAATTTGTGTGTTTAACTTTGTTTAATTCCATGATGATTCCAAAATAACTTTTATTACGCAACAAATCCTACCATTATATTTTTGAACATTGACGACAAGTGACAAGTTAGTAAACAAGTGACAATAATGACAATTAACAGTGTTACCAACTTAGTGATATTAAACCCTTATAAAATAAACATAACTAAATTGGTTTTAGCGATTTGGTACATATACTTCAACATTTTTTACATGGAAAACAATGTATAACCGGGTTTTGTCGAAAAGAGTTGTTCATGAAACGACATTTCAATTACTTTTCTCGTGTTTTCTTTGTAGGTGATATAAACTATTAATATTTTTTTCTAGATGGTAAAAACTTCAAGCACGATTCGGGTTATATGGGATCAACACTTCAACTGAATTCGACTTCGAATAATTCTTTAGGCAGAAAAGTAGGCACGTGGTTTACATTCTCGAACAAAAAGACAAGACATCAACATCCCGATGTTTCCTGAGACAAAACGACGTTACTGTAACGATCACGTGACATGGAACTGAGCCCTCTTAAACTTTACAGTGAAAACTAAGTCGCGAGAAATTTTGTTGCAGTAACAAAATTGTTTTGTAATTATATAGAAACGATATAATGTTATTTAGTTACCTAATTTTTCATATTAGAGCAACATAATTACAGTTACCTGGCTATATAATAATATATGAACATATCCGTTTGCCAATTAAACTTATAGCTTCAAAGCTGGCATTATTAGATTTAGAGTCTCATTTAAAATGTTAAGCTGGCGAAAAATATTTACTCTAATATGAAAATTAACTAAAATATCTGTTAATAGTGTTTTAATGCAATAAATATAGTGATAACTGGCTACTGCCGAACGTGCTGTGCAAAACGATATGTCGCAAAGGCTATATGGTAATATTTCAGATGTGTTCTCAAATGATTTAGTTAATTTTTTAGATTTAAATATTTTTTTGATACTGAAAAATTTAATTTGACTATGTCAATATACAGATATTAATATTTAATAACAAATTTACTTTCCTACAAATATTACAATACTTTTGTCTTCTTTAGATAAATCAGTATAGACTTTATTCTTAAACATCCTTAATTTAGTAAATGTATGTGGTAAATAGGCTATACCTGATGCTCTTATTTTTTGTATTATCGGATGATTGCAGCATCCATGCCGAAACAAAAGGTTTAATTATAAGAATTGTAGGTATATACCACGTATTTATCAAACAAAAAATTATGCAAGTAAGAGTATTTATTTTTATTTACAGTATTTTTGTTAATTATTTGAAGCAGTTTAAAATTTTAGATCACAACTGAAATATTAATTATAATAACAGGATTTAGTCAATGTTTTGGGCCTAATTGTAAAGTGTACATATTTAAAAATTGATAAGGCCTCCCCGAATGGTATTTTCTATTAAAAACCTTTTCCTATTCTACTGACTGATAATTCTTCCTCTATATCCTCTATTTTAACTTCTAATTATGGGATATCCGAATAATCGTATCATAATATACACATAAATATTGCGCACAAAATTGTATAAACTCGTGGATCAGACCAAACAAATCATCAATTCATTTAATTTATACAATGCTAAAAAGTATTCTATATGGTAAAGTATTCGAAAAAATAATCAGAAAGGTCGATTTTTATTTCTGATAAAGCGCATTTTTACAATAAAAAATTATACTAATTTCAATCCCTTTTACACTCTTTAAATTAAATAGCTACAGGGGTCGACTGATATCTATTTTAAAAGGTTTTTTTAGTTCTGTATTCAAGGATTTAAATAAATTTAAATTTGCTTCATTCGTTTTTGACTTAATTTAATTTAAAATGTGAAATAAATAGACAAAACAACAAGAAATTATTCTAAACGATAATGTAATGTTTATTATAATTTATTTACAACTAAATTTATTTGATCTATATCTCATGCTTATAATCTATTTTATCTAACAATTCGAACTTCTGTCCATAAACTGTTCCTCTAACAACGCAACGGTTTATTTATATGCAAAATGGGGCGAGTTAGACATGTTTGAGAGCGTTCAAACCAGTCTAGAATCTTCGATTCAACCATATATCATTTCCGCAATCTATCGCGTCTCTGGTAGATTCATCTAGTATCTCACTTAGAGGACTTACAGACCACATCGAGAGACTTGCTGGCGACAACAAAGTCAAGACCGGACTGGTTAAAAACGGCTCGCACGACAGTATGTTGTTATCAAATGTTCTCCATTAACCTCTTGACAAAAAAGGTCTATTTTTAGATAGTTTCCTTAATGGTCAGAAACTTTTAGACACTAAAGGTCAAAGAATTCGTCTAGTGTAAAGACAATATTATAATATACAGGGTGTCCGATTAGTGCCTAACTGTTTAATATTTCAATTTGTGTAATAGATTCGTAAACAAATTTCATATAAAAGGTATATGGATTTAAATAATACATATTTAAAAAATATTTGTGGATATACAGGGTGTTACGTTTTTACCTGGACAATAAAAATGTATATTTTTTTATAGAATGATTTGGTAATACTGTCTTCAACCCTAGAATTTTTTTTTAAATATTACAAGGTTCCAAAGCAATTATTTATTTGGAATTTAAAGAACGATGCAGTCCCCAAAATTAATTAACATTATTTAAGTAGGTTTACAATGATTAAAATTACAGACTTATAAGATAGTAAGCTAACGAATAGTGGTGATAGAACTGGAATATTTTATAAATGATGTTTTGAAACATGTCTTAAATATCCTGTATATTATTTTAGCATAAAATTTCTTATACATTTTCCTTTACAACGATACCAACGTGTTAGCCAATTTTACACATACAGGGTGTCCCATCAGTGCTTAATTGATCAATAGCTGTTTTATTATTGGAAATACGAAGTAATTTTTATTATAAAAGTTGTATGACCATATTTAAAACATTATTCTTAAATATGCAAGGTATTTCATAAACGAGGTGCTGATCAAACATATACCTTTTTTAAAGCAAAACACCCTACAGTTAGTTATACATAATTGATTGTCTTCACATCGCCAAACAATTTTAATTGACTTCATTCATTTGGTATGTTGTGTATAGAGTATGTCAAAACGCGAGGTTATAATTTCTTAATTTTTTTATGGAATACCCGGCATTAATTAATTGGTGGTATATGGTACAGGGTATTCCATTTAAAACATTGTAAAAGTCGTAACCTTTAATTTTTTGTACAACATAGTAAATGAATGAAGTCAATTAAAATTGTGTGACGAAGTGAAAACGGTTTCGTGGTAGATGCGCCCGTGGCATTTGCGCTTTTCACGAAAAAGTGTGGCACTTGCGCTCTGATATTCTTTTCGAGCATACCTGCTTTTTAAGAATGGTCAAGAGAGTGGCACTTGCGCCCTCTTCGTATCCAAGTAGGTAGAATAAATAAAAAAGCAAGATCAAGTAGGTAAGTAAACTTAAAATATTAAATAATGATATGAAAATGTGTGTAAATACATTATACCTATTATTATTATTATTATTATTATTATATCTACATAAAATATTTAAAGGTTTTTACCCTTAATCTCATTTAACAGGTATTACAATAGTTGTTTCTTGAATAACTTATTAACGGATAAAGAGAAAAACACGAAATTTTAGACATTTTGGACGTAGTCGGAACATCTGGGGGGTACTTTATAGAATGTAATTTTTAAACTTTATGGAATATGTTATTTGCGCTTGGAAAAGCGTTTGAGATAATTTTCCTAAAATGGTCAGTGTTCAAGAAATTGGAGAAAAAGTGGAAAATTCGAATTGTTTTTGTTCTCCTCTATTACTTTTATCCCTTCATTTTGTATTGGGCTAGTTAAAACTCATCTTCAAGTCATAGCTACAAAATGTAAAAATATCTTGAAAGAGAATAAAAAAAATTCTAATACAGGTTGATTTTTATTTCACCTCAATTATAATAAGTCATTCTTATCCCCTACTTCACTATAACCGATCCAATTTAAATGAGAAAAGTACCAGGTATAACACATTAACGAAAATATTATTTTACTCTACTTTTAATTTTGGCACCCGATAGCGCGATAAAAAATTGTTACGTCTTGTAAAGCGCGATACTTCATTTGAAAGCTAATTTTTTTAGTAATAACAATACACCACATAACATTAAACTAAATATCTCCATATTGCACTTTAACAAAATAAAGTTAGTAACAATGCAATATTTTTTCATTTTAATTTTATCTTTGATTTAGTTAACCCTTTCAGTCATCAATCTACATTTTTCATTTTAAAATTACAATATTTCTCAAAATATTCTATTTTTTCTAAAATTTTTGATGAAATAAAAAATCAAAAATTTCTATCCCCATCCAAACGATTTAATGTCCACATTTGTGGACAATGTGACTTTATAACAAGATTTTGTAATTAAACACTATATACTTTTTATAGTATTCTATCCGGGATGACACTTCATGTACATCAAAGACCTCAGCCTCATGCCATAGAATTGATCGAGACTGATAAGTTACATATTAGATTTCCATTTATTTTGTTTTCTGAGTCAGGTTGTACTTGTTTCAAAATAACGTTTTTGTTATTTTACTTTCATTTTCCTTCAAATCAGTGTCTTGTTCTATTTATTCACCTATTTCTTCGGTATGGGATTATCTGAGTTGTCGGAATCACTTTGTATATTGTTATTAAATTCAGATATTCCTTCTTCCTCCTCAGAAAAATCATCTATTACAGACTCATTATCAGCCATTAATAGTTTCAAAATTTTATTATCGGTTAGACCTTAAGTAAATCCAGATATGTATTTATCTCTTATATTTGATTAATTTTAACTGCAAATAAAATATGGAAATATAAAAATCATGATGACGTTTAGTAACTTTGTCCACGTTTGATGACATGTAAATTTACACGCCAAATTATACGTTTTCAGATACAAAACTGTTTGAAGTACATAATCACATATTGAATTATATTCTTACCCAACAAACCAATCACTTTTTAACAAAATAATAGGTATTATTCACTCAAAAATCTGGTATTCAAATGTTTTGGTTACCTTTTAACACATCAGAACCTTCGCTGTGTATAAAATGTCTAAACTTCTTTGCTTAGGCAATATATGTCGAAACCTCAACCATGATCTTTATGAAGGATGCCATTTTGGGTTCGTGTTAAAATATAAACCATAATACAGTAATTTGATAGGTATACAGTTGATTGAAAATGGTGTGCACAAATGTGGACACAGTGACTGAATGGGTTAATATAATATGTAGTGCATTAAATTACTAATAAAAGAATCTTTTAAATTAAATGTCACAATTTAAAATACGTAATAGGCGCTAAAATTAAAAGCCATCCAATGCACAGTAATCGGTATTGCTGAATTTGCAATTCCTCTTTAAATGATCTTTTCGATGATGCGTCATATTTGGTGCTTTCCCCATC